CTGAGGGGCAATGGGGAAGGGGTCCGGGACCCGGGGTCCCTTGGGGGGCGATGGGGAAGGTTGTCGTCCCCCCCCCAGGACCCCCCTTTTGCCTCCCGCAGCATCAAGCGGAGCAACTGCTACATGGTGTGGGGGGGGGAGTTCGCCAGCACCACGCAGCAGGCGCGGGTCAGCCACACCGACCTGGTCATCGGCTGCTTGGTGGACCTGGCCACCGGCCTCATGACCTTCACCGCCAACGGCAAGGAGATCAACACCTTCTTCCAGGTGGGACGACCCCCTCCACCTCCCTCCTTGAACCCCCATGACCCCCGCAAGGGCTGGGGGGTCCTGTCCCCATCCCGGGGGCTCGGCAACTCCATCGCTGGTCTCAGCGGCTTCGTCCGTGCAGGTGGAACCCAATACCAAGCTCTTCCCGGCCGTCTTCGCCCTCCCCACCAGCCAGAACGTCATCCAGTTTGAGCTGGGCAAGCTCAAGGTGATGCCTGGGTCCCCCCACGTCGCTCTTGGGGGAGGCAGTAGGGTCTATGGGGAGACAGCGGGGTCTCCAGGGTGGACCAAGGGGCAGCTGGACCCCTGGGGGTACTGGGGCTCTTCAGGTTTATAGGATAGACTAAGAGAAACTGGAAACACTGGGGAGGTAGGGACGTCTATGGAGGGTTCTGGGGTCTACAGGATGGACCAAGGGGAACTTGGACCCCTGGGGGTGGGGGTGATCTCCAGGGGGGTCTTGGGGTCTACAGGATGGATCAAGGGGAACCTGGACCCCTGGGGGTGGTGGGAGTCTCTGGAGGGGCAGCAGGCATCCCAGCCACCTGGGTTCCCCCCCATCTCACGCCCCCCATGTCCCCACAGAACATCATGCCCATCTCGGCCGCCATGTTCAGCAGCGAGCGGAAGAACCCAGAGCCGCAGTGCCCGCCGCGGTTGGCCATCCAGCTCCTGACGCCCGTCACCTGGAGCCGCATGCCCAACGAGTTCCTGGCCGTGGAGACCAGCCGCCTGGGCGAGCGGCAGGGCTGGGTGGTGGAGTGCACCGAGCCCCTCGTCATGATGGCCCTCCACATCCCCGAGGAGAACAGGTTGGGGACCCCTGTCCTCCCCTGGTGCCCCCGTCCCCACCCCGGGGACCCCAGCATCCTGGTGTCCTGCCACCCAGGGGACCAGGGTGTCCTTCCCCTGGGAGACCCCGACGTCTTGCCCCAGGGGTCCCCGGCATTGTGTCCCAGAGGACCCGCATGTCCTGCTCCCAGGGGACACCCATATGTCCTGCCCTGAGGGGACCCTGATGTTGTGTCCCATCTCCTGGGCACTCAGGGGTCCCGTCCCCAGGGGATCTTGGTGTTGTACCCCCACGGGACCCCAGGGTCCTGCCCCAGGAGATCCCAGATGTCCCATCCCTCAGGGACCCAAGGGTTGTACCCCCAAGGAACCCCAAGGACCCATCCCCAGGGCACACAGTCATCCCATCCCCAGGGTCCCTGGGGGACCTGTCCCCAAGATCGCATTCCCAGGACACCCAGTGGACCTGTCCCCAGGAGACCTGGGTGTCCCATCCCCAGGGCACCCCAGGGTCCCATCCCGAGGAGACCTGGGCGTCCCATACCCAGGAGTCCCATCCCCAGGAGACCTAGGATGTTGTGTCCCCAGGATCCCATCCCCGGGGGATGCAGGGGACCTGTCCCCAGGAGACCTGGGGACCCAGGGGTCCCATCCCCAGGAGACCTAGGATACCATGTCCCCAGGATCCCATCCCTGGGGGATCCAGGGGACCTGTCCCCAGGAGATCTGGGTGTCCCATCCCCAGTCGACCTAGGATACCGTGTCCCCAGGGTCCCATCCCCAGGAGATCTGGGTGTCGTGTCCCCAGGGTCCCATCCCCAGGGGACCCAGGCGCCCCATGCTGACCCCCGCGTGTCCCCCCCCAGATGCATCGACATCATGGAGCTGTCGGAGCAGCTGGAGCTGCTGCGGTTCCAGTGGCACACGCTGAAGCTGTACTGCGCCGTCTGCGCCCTGGGGAACAACCGGGTGGCCCACGCGCTCTGCAGCCACGTCGACCAGGCGCAGCTCCTCTTCGCCATCGAGAGCCCCGAGCTGCCGGGGCCGCTGCGCGCCGGTTACTACGACCTGCTGCTGGCCATGCACCTCGACGCCGCCCAGCGCGCCCGCGCCTCCATGAGCGCCGAGTTCATCATCCCCATGACCGAAGCCACCAAGAGCATCACCCTCTTCCCCGACGGCGGGCGAGCACCCGGACCCCCCGGCGTGGGTCCCAGCGCCTGTTTGCGACCCCAACCCCATTTCGCTGAGCCTTGTTTTGTCTTGGCGGCCGGCGGCGGGCGGGCGCTGCTCAGTCCCGGGATCCCCTTGGGGGCTTTGGGGGCTCGGGCCATCCGGATGCTGGCGGAGGCGGTGGCCGGGGGGGGACCCCACGCCCGGGACCCCGTGGGCGGGCGCCGGGGAGTCCAGCCGGTGCCGG